TTAAGTCGACGTTCTTTTTTTTCTTTCTTAGAATTGTTTGCTCTTCTGATCCGAACCTAATTGATCTTTATGATACATACGTACATATTGTTTTTTACAACAGTGCACCTTTATACAAACGTGAAACCAAGTCTGTAAAATGCCGCGGTATTTATCTGAACAGAACAAAATGGATCGTACGTAATTCGATAAAATAATATAAAACAAAGAACGTTACGCGTCCATAATTTCCTCATAAAACGAAAGAAACTTTACGGACAACCTAATACAGGCTGGGATTGGATGTTAATCCTGTCTTCCAAGTTCACATTCGAAGACACTAATTCAACAGAAGCGTTTCTATACAGAAACCTGACCTTCCTTTCTTCATGCGCGAAAACGTATTATCTTTATCGCTACATTATGATGACAAATATCAGGTGTTTGAGATTAGAAAGTCTCTTGTTGTTACCTGTAGAAAGAGTATAAGACGCTCGAGCTGCTTTGCTTCTAAAAATTTCGAACCGCTATCGTACGAATGAAACTAAAAATTAAATAATACAAAATTCACCGCAAAGAAGTGACTCTTTGTAAAAAGGAGTCTAAAAAAATATACATTTATCAACGAATCGCAGTACATACGTAGCAGGATAGTAAAGACGAAATTTCCCGAAATTTTCTACTAATCGCATCATCTTTTGAATAGCCAAATTATCTTAAGCCCCGAATTAATTCGAATCTCACGTTTCTCATACAGAGGCGTTAAAACCTTTTTTTTCAGTAAAATAATGCTGTATTCCGCGATATCTACGCTAATTATCAGCGAATCATAATACTGCGATACTAAAGGTGAAATTCCTCGAAGACCAAGAGAACGATCGGTCTCGTTTCCTCTGATAAATAGTTAGCTCGAACGCGGACCACGTAACTGCGATCTTTAAAAATAGAAACAATGAGACACGCGGTTTGATGCAGCGGTAGACATTGGCACGTCGTCTACAGTCTAGAGAAACTAAAAGAATCGAACCAGTCGTTTTACCGAGGCATTACGAGAGAAATTCGCACGATCGTTAGCCGATACACGTGTCTTTCCGCTAAATAATTATCGCGCCAAGCGTGACTTCCTCGAAATGCTTGGAGAGAGCATAGGAGCAAGCGTTCATCGCCACGTGACAAATCGCCCTCCATTTAATTTGTGATGGAAAGCCAGAGGAAACTCTGTCGAAATTTATGGAAAATGTAGTCGAAGATGATGAGAATATCACAAGATTATCCTTTTTATTGCGTTCTGTAAATCGATTGATTAAATATATTCGTTTGGTCGCGAGAGGATAAGATTGAAAGTTTTTCAAATTTATCGTAAAATCTACTATCGCTTGTGTCTCTTTTTGGTGAATTTATCGAAGCAAGCCGTTCGTTTCGTGAAAATGAAACGTGAGTCGTAAACCTTATTTTAACAAAATCAAGCGATTGATAAAAAGCGGAATTGGTCGCTTCTGAGAGTTTTTAATATCTATTTTCCTATCTGTAGTACTTTCTCTGGTATCTACTATTGTCTATCGATCGAGGTAATCGAGAAGACAAAAGATACAGAGTCTTGCAGCGAGCGTACGAATGAATTAAAAAAATTATATAAATGATAAAAGAAAAAAGCAGGACGAAGCAAAAATTTGGTAAATGTCATTAATTTCGCTATCGGACAGGAAGCCTAGTTTCTTGCACCGACCGTTTACGACGTAAGAAAAATGTAGCGCACATTGCCTCCGTGTTTTGCAACACAGTTCTTAATATTCCTTTACCGCGATAAGATAAATGATGCAGCAGTGGCATGGAGCAATGCATCGTATATCAATCGCGAGAAATTTGATCGTGTTTTGTTGTGTTTTCTCCGGTATTTTCCAAGCTTTCTTTACTATTTTCTATCGATGATACTTCGTAGATGAAAAGCGTTGAATACTCGTCAAATTTTCGAAACTCGTCGAAAAACTCGACTAGCACTTTCAAAACTATCGAGATTTTCAAGATTTCTAAAACCACCAGGATTTTTATGAGTTTCGAACTTCGAATCGTGCTCGAGACGATTCGAGGTGTCTCAGATGTTATCGCTGCTTCTGACCAAAGATGATTTCGAAATCAACGAACGCGGTTGCGGCTGATCGCGAACATAGCCGAGATTTCTTGGATTTCCTAGAAACTCTCGTGACAATTGATCTCGCGGACGAAAGCCCACTTTCCGGAGGCAATCGACACGCTGCCACTTCATACGATAATCTCCGGAAACGTCTGTTGCGGTCTGATGGATCGCAACATCTCGAAATTAAATCCTAACTATTGCTACAAGCGAACGAAGAACAATCGCGAGAATAAGGAAAGAGAGAAACGGGAGATCGATAAGAGAATTAAATATAAATACAAATGAAGCAATAGAATAGCGACAAGAAGAACTTTTCGATTGTCGTATACGGATCAAGCCTGAGAATGATAAAGCCAGTTTCTTTTTCTGATAACGAAATACCATAGAAATGTGGAAAGAAAGGGCACTGAAACAATAAGAAGTCAGCTATTATTATATATATTTTGTACATATCTTAATTACCCACGTATCGAATCTTACGAAAGAAATCTATACTTGGAGTGGAAAAATTATAAAATTACCATAGAATGTAAAAAGACACGTAAACGGCGAACGAATTAATAATAGGAAATCTTTCATCGATAAGAGATTTAAATCGAATTCATCAAAACTGAGAAAGATAGACAGTTTTAGTATCCAACGGAGAAATTCGTTGCCACGTGCCAATATTAATTAACTATGAATTTATGAAACATGTGACCACTAATTAACTGCGAATTTACAATGTATTAAATAAATACCATGTAGCAACATTAATCAACTATAAACCTACAACATGTTCGAGGAAGAAATATTTCATTTTAAAAATTAACTCGACCCTCCGATTCAAATATCCTCCGCTTCCTTTCTGTTTACTCAGATTGCCAGAAAACGGAACTGTCTCCTCGCAAACAACAATTCCTCGATTCACCGGTGCAATGGTTTCTCTATATCCACGTTGATATCGACGTGGATCTGCCGCATTGTATTCCTGGTTCATAATCGGCTGGCAACAAAAATAATTTCGCCGTAGGAAGAACACAAAGAGCGACGCGATCTGCGATCGAAAACAAGAAAAACAAGCCATCGTTTTGTGGCTTTCAACTGAGAATTTTTCTACCTTTCGGTAGCGGCGTGCGGTATTCCACTCTTCAACGAGGCAAAGAGAAAGAACAAGCACGCGCGAATAAAAATAAAATACGCCGCGGGTCGCCGATTCGCTGTGTTCGATTCGCGCGCGCCTCGCGATAAAAGCCGCATCAGAGGGAAAAGCCTTTGATACACTCGCCACGAACGGTGTAACGACGTCGTTAAAGCCGTTTACCTGCGTACCAAGGAAACCTCTATTTACGATTCTTCTTTGGTACGCGTTCGTTACAGTTCTACAAATACCTTGAGTCAATCTATGAAGAAACGTTTTGCTCGATTTACACGAATTTAATGGCGAATAGACGTTCCGGGTTTTGTTTCCGCCAATGTTTCTCCGGTTCCGGGAATCGATTGATAAATTGAAAAAGAAGGAGAAACGTACGTTTGTATTTTTATCCGTTATTTATCTATTATTTATTCATTTATTTGTTTACGAGTTTATTTTGACCCGATCCTGTTAAGGATAAATTCGTATTTCTGTGAATGATCGCGCGAAGTAATGCTTGTATTTTTTCTAACGCGTTGAATTTCTAAATAATATGTTAGAGTCCATGGCAATGACGTAAATACTGACGTCTGTATGAAGATAATTCAACACGAAGTTCAATATTACAGCTAAAGATCGGTGATTATATTTTCGTTTGCTTTAGTACCTTTTGTTTCGATATTTGCTCCTATATGTTTAGGGAAGCTGATATATATTTGTAGATAAAACGCGGAATACGTAGATTAGAAAGTTTGTTCAAGAGGGAAAACTAATATGTATGTTAGCTTCATTAGCCTGATTTGGTTACTAAGGATTCTGAGAATTGGTTGATAAGCCGGCTAAGGAAAAATGTGAGTTCGTGTTTTCGTGATTACAGATATGTAATGATTGTATAACAACGATTTCCTAATGAGTAATATTTTTAAATAATATCTGAGAAAGTACGTTTATGATAGTGGTGAAAATACGTCTGTACGAAGATTAATTTAAACCAAAATTCGATGTCACAGCTCAGAATTAACCAATTAAGAATTAATTAGTATTTTTTTCATTCTACTTGAAATATCTTTTATCTAATATTCGGCTTTACGTTCTTACGGAAACCGATATACAGGGTGCTTAAGGTAATATCAATCAACGTCATTCTCTAAGCAACAGCAGTATCTTTCTGTCTCTCTGTGTGTCAAGCGAACAGATATCGAATAGGACGAAACGAAGTAATTCAGTCTAGTTGGGATTATTAAATGTGCGATGTAATATTGCAGTTATTTTATATTTGGGATTTTATATTTTCTAATGATGTCATTTGATGGATGAAATTGATATCATGCCTATCCGAAGGAGCAAAACAAAATTAATTAATAATTAAAGGAATTAATGTAACTCTTTTCTTTAGTATGCAAATCAGACTAATAAAAATAACATTTCAGTTTTTCTACTTAAACGAACTCTCCAGTCTACGTTTCTCACTTGGTACCTACCATTTATATAGGGTGGTTGGTAACTGATGGTACAAACGGAAAGGGGGTGATTCTACGCGAAAAAAGAAGTCGAAAATATAGAGTACAAATTTTTCGTTTGAAGCTTTGTTTTCGAGAAAATCGACTTTGAATTTTCGATGGAAAAATTAAAAAAAAATTTTTATTCTATATTTCCGACTTCTTTTTTCGCGTAGAATCACCCCCTTTCCGTTTGTACCATCAGTTACCAACCACCCTATATAAATGGTAGGTACCAAGTGAGAAACGTAGACTGGAGAGTTCGTTTAAGTAGAAAAACTGAAATGTTATTTTTATTAGTCTGATTTGCATACTAAAGAAAAGAGTTACATTAATTCCTTTAATTATTAATTAATTTTGTTTTGCTCCTTCGGATAGGCATGATATCAATTTCATCCATCAAATGACATCATTAGAAAATATAAAATCCCAAATATAAAATAACTGCAATATTACATCGCACATTTAATAATCCCAACTAGACTGAATTACTTCGTTTCGTCCTATTCGATATCTGTTCGCTTGACACACAGAGAGACAGAAAGATACTGCTGTTGCTTAGAGAATGACGTTGATTGATATTACCTTCTGCACGAACCAACAGCCTAATCCCATTCTGCCATATCAAAATTCCATCGATCAGATGAATATCTTGCAGATCACGAGATCGACGATCGAGTTGATCGCCTCGATGTTTCGAGGCGCATGAATCTGAGATTGCGTGATATTACTTACAATTTGCTTGGCCAGTTTCTGCATTCCGCTGACGTCACTTGATGGCGCATCCTCTTCCCTCGCTCTGACGATCGCTGAGAGATACGCATCTGCACGCAGTCTCGATCACTCGGATGATCCACGCCTGAGATAACGTTCGTCTATCCTAGATCGATCTGGTCTGATCGTTTCAAGAGGTCTGTAACGTTCAAAACGAATTTAAGAAACCCGTTCCCGTAGTCGTCTGTTGTATTTATTGCTCGTTTTGTTCATGAAATCGACGCTGGTTTATCGCTCGTTTCGTGCAGTACACGAAGAATGAGAATTTGTAAAAGTGTGCAATATCGACGCTCCTCTTTTACTTTGAAACTTGTTAACTTCTGACGAACTTTTCGTGAACTACGATAGCCTCGTTGTGAACTATTAAACGTTCTCGCTACGCGATTAACTTTTTATTTATTCGTTAGACGTTCGTTATTCTTAGAAGGACAGTATGAAGGAAAATCGCGATCATCTCGCTACAAACTGTATTTAGTGCCCGTTGTGTTTCAACCGCGCCATCGAAATTCTATTACGGAAAACCAAAATCAAAAATTCGATGATCCGCATTCTGTAAAAATCAGCATTGTTTTATCGTATCTTGTATTTTATCTAATAGAAAATTGTATATTCTCAATGATTAGAAAAAGGCAGGTTTATTCCTTCTTTTTCTTTTTTCTTTTTAAGAATATCTATATTCACGATATCTGTACGATAATAGTTTATTCAACGATTACAATATCGAAGTAGAAACGCTGCAAAAATCGTACCACCGTAAAAAGTCGATAAGTTAAACGCAAAGCAACATTAGCTATTCTCCGTCATTGACGACAAATGATTAAAAGTGTGTTAACCTCGGGGATAAACCTGCCTTTTTGATAACGTTTTATTAGAATTCGATAACGTTCTAGATACTCGTTTTATGAAAAGTCACGAAATTAGCGATCGAGTCGCCAGTTTCGTAACGATGTTTCGCGCAACGTGATCGCGGTCGTTCTTTATCGTCCGCGGCAACGATCACGGGATCTGTACGCCGCTTTTCAAGCCTCCACCAACATAATCGAGATCCTCGAACGGTACTACGTATAGGAGGAAGGCAGGAAAGGTCACGGCTCTGACCCATTTCGACGTTTTATCGGCCTACTACGCGAGCAAAGTTCGCGTCTCGCGGTGCACGAACTGGTCCGCGCTTCGTGGAACGAGATTACACGCATACGTGACTTCCGTTTTCTCGCCTCTTGTTTTTCCACCGAACGTTCTGCCCTCCTTTATTCCCCTCTCTTTTATTTTATTATTCTAGGCGCGGTGGAAATTTCAAAAATCGCGAAATATTCTCGACATTTGCGAGCTGTGAAATCGAATAAATATCGTTGGTGATGTTTAGAAGGCTAAACGAAGATTGACGTGTGTATGTCTGATTATTGTACATATGGTGGTACAAGCGGAAAGGGGGTGATTCTACGCGAAAAAGGAAGTCGAAAATATAGAATAAAAATTTTTCGTTCGACGCTTTGTTTTCGAGAAAATCGACTTTGAATTTTCGCTCGGTACGCGTGCACTTTATCGCGTCTCGTTATAACGGATCTCACTGTAGATTTTTAAAAAAATTAAAAAAAATTTTTATTCCATATTTTCAATCACTCCCTTTCCACGCGTACCAACCACCCTGTATATATGTATTAGGTTTTGCTAAAAGCTTTTCTCGTTTTATAAGGAAATAACAGATGCATCACATTATTCGTTTCATATTGTTTTTCTTTATATTATTCTTATTGTCGTCTTATTATTGCTGTTATTGTTCTATTGGAACAAAACGGATGGATTCAGTAAAATAATACAATGCAATAAATACTGTGCGTTTATTATTTTCTTATAAAACAAAAGAAACTTTTGAGACGATCTAACGTATATACGATCATCAACACAACAGGTGTCTGTAGAGATTTATGGAAATATTGGGGAAAAATTTGAAAGGTAAAGACCAACGTGTTTATGTGTTATTAACGTGTGCGATTATCGAAGTATGGAACAAAATGTATTATCTGACCGTAGATTTAAACGAGCTGCGATTATCGAATAAGGGTTTCAACAAGATTTTTAGAAACAGTGGCAAAGAATTCTGTGTGAAAGTAAAACTTGAGAGTAGAAGCCAATATATTCGTATAATTATTGAATTAAAAACAAAATTCTCCTAGTATAACGATTTTATTGGATCGATACATCTTTTCGTACGATAAAAGCGAAATTTATTACAAATTACGGGATAAATAATGACTTGAGAAAATATTTTGTTAAATCCTGGCGAATGACGTTATATTGGCCATGGATTTCGCAGAATTGGAATTTATTTCAATAGTTGGCCTTTGAAAATATTTCGCGATATTCTTGTTTATATAGTGATAGTGATGAGAAAAATGTTTATGGTATATCTGAGTCGTATAAAGTGCAGTCTTCAAGGTAACTCCTTATAAAATAAATAATCTAAATTCGCCTTCAGTCGTCTCCATAAATTAACCATTAACGAGCAACGAGCAAAAAATCCACGCATCTTCCGATATATTAACCGTGCATCGATAGAACAAGTCGTTTTTTTTTAAATAAAAATTGATCTTCCACGAAATATATTTCCGAATGGAATTTCAGTCTCGGATTCCTCTGCCCAAATTTAGCGTTTGTATCGGGAAAAGTTTGAAACATTCGACTCGACAAACGACTGTAATGCAACAAAAGAACATCAGCAAGTATCCTGGAAATTTCCTGCAATTTCTTTTGGAAGCCTGGAGCGATAAAGAATATTCGAACAGGAGAATTGAAACCATCGATGACCTTCGTCAGAAGGAATTTTCGTGAACGTATTCGAACGATTCTCGTGCACAAGCTGGCAGAAAGTGTTCGACTATGTAGGCTGACTCACGACGAAATTTTATCTTGGCCGGCGATTTGCCAAATATCGAATCGTCGCTTGTAGCTTTCAGTAGCTTTCTCTCAACCGAAACGATACTTTCGTCCTCCGATTCCTCTTGCTCCACGGTCCATGTTGACTGCCAAGGAAAATTCGTTTAGACGCGGTTAACCACGGTACACGTAGTGGAAGAAGCGTCGCGGTGTTTGTATCGATTACTCGTTAAAACCATCGCATCGTCGATGTTTATGCAATGTTTTTGCGGCTGAGGAAAATCGGAGCTGTGGCATTTTTCAGCGGCAACCGCGAATATTTAATCGTTCGTTCGATTTATCAGAGGCGTTATCGTCCGCGATAGTTTGGCACACTTGTGACGAAAATAACTGGAACTAAATGCTTGGAGTTTACGAGTTACAGCGGCGGACAAAAGAAAATTTATAAAATGAAGAATGAAATAAAAGGATGTTATAATTTTACAAAATGAACTTATATTTAATAAGAACGAATGAATAAATATAATATAATACCACGGAATAAACGACCGTTACCATAACGAGTAAATAATTTTTAGTACAAAAATTTGCGATGTATCGATTAAAAATTTTCTTCTATCCTCCATTGTATTTTCATTTTCCATTGTGTCATATTATCATTCTCCCATTTGATTATCAAGCGACGATAAAATAAGAAAAATCAATAAAAACCTACGTATCATGTTTTTCTCCCATGATCTTCGAAACATATAGTTCCTTTTTCTACGTGCTGTGTTTGACAGCAGATTAAAAATACGCTTAATACGTTTAAACAAAAGAAAAAAGACGCATGTTCCGTCATTTGCCTGGTTAAAGAGTGCTCGGGACATTTCGCGGATGTGTATTTATGAACGTCGACCGAACAACGCAGAATGTGTAGTGATACCGTCTTCAATTGGTCTCGTTCACGAAGACATTCGCGTCTCGCGTTTTACACTGATCGTATCTTAAAGCTCGTTACAAACGGTATTCGATATCTTCTAGATTTTACCGACATCGTTCCGCTGCGTCTTGTCATCGAGCTCGTATAAATTTTTATGCCCCATGGTTGCTCTATTTCCGGTTTACAATAGAGTGTAATCATGTTTGTGTTTGATCGACGTCGTTTTCTGAAGCAACGTAGTTTCGGCAAGTACGGAGGAATTTACACGATTGTGGTAAAATAAAAAATTTATTATCAATCCCGTGTAGCCGTCTTTGCGTACAAAGAGAAAAAAGTCATATTTCAAAGAGTCATATTTTCCGATTTTTATAAAAAAAAAAAAAGTGATTTCAGAATTCGATTCTGTATTATTAAAAATAGTTTCGAATTAACTACGCACTGTATACTTTTGCAATATTCAATAAACATATGTTATGTACAATAACGTACAAAATAAAGATTACAAAAATCATAATTTTTAATAGTTGAAAGAACTCTCCATTCGTGGTCTATCTTTTCTTCATTTTTGTTGTATATCTATGGCCGTAAAAGTGGAAATTTGCAGAAAAATCCTTTCCATTCTGAAATCGTATTCTAATGATAAAATTAACAGGCGATGCAACGCACGTGCAGCTATTATAGAAAAAAAGTACAACAAAAGTACAACAACCTTACTACTGTAATAAAACCACTCTCTTATCGCACTGCCCGGCAAAAAAGAAATTAAAATCTCCTTGCCCATGTCCAGAGAGATATAAATTTCCGCGAAAATCCTCCGCCCTGAAATCCCACTCTGGCGATAAAATTAGCCCGTTGATCCAATGAACGCCGAACTCCGTAAAAAGAAAGTAATTGCAAATTTTTAATCGCGATACAAAGTACACGACAAACTTGCTTATACGCGTGCTCTCTTATCACGCTTCGCAGCAAAAACGAAAACCATTAAAAAAGCGACGCTTCCAAAGAGACGAAAAAACCCATAAAACGAGGCAGGGCCTATCTCTGGCGAGCACGAAAACCCCTAAAACGCAACCGCGTCCATGACAACCTTATACAATCGTGTCTCTATGGTCTGTTATCGCATACCAATATGTACTACGCTATATACGTGAAAAAAGAAAAAAGGACAAAAAAAAAAAACAAAGAAAAGAAAAATAGAGGGACTAGGAGTGTTGGTTAAAGAGAGAAGAGCAGAGTGGAAGCGAGATATAACGTGGTGCACGTGTGTGGCTGTTGTTTCAGGTTGCAGCGAGGACGAGGCAGCAGGTGTCGTGAACGTGGAGGTGGGCGGAGGTTGCGCGGCCGGGGCGCCAACCACAGGAAGTGGCGTTGGAGGTGGTAGCGGCACAGGTAGCGAAGCCGGTGGTGGTGGTGGAGGCGGTG